AACGAGAGAAACGACTTGTTAAATTACAGCAGCAGCTAGAAACGCAGGTTTGAATTTTGTTTTCTCCTCCTCCATGCAAAAAATGAGCTCACTTGTTGCATTGTTAAACTGCATGGTCATTTTCAGCAAAGTAACCTGAACTTTATCGAAAAAGATCCGTTGAAAAAGGCGATCTTAAAGAAAGGTTTGGATATTGTGAAAAAACGGATTGACGGCTTGAGCGAGGTAGGAATTTTGCTAAATCTGACTTTATGAAAAAAGTTTGTTGCAGGAACCATCCACTTCAAAATCTGAAAGCGATTTGAACGCTGAACTTGAAGGAGAATGGTGTACCGTCGGGGATGTGGCTGCCCTTGACAAAGAAGTGGAAAGGGCGGTTAAAGCCGTGGAAACGGCTCGTAATGGGAACATGAGCAGTGAAACAGTGGAAAAAGCTGAAACTAGGTAAAAATCGCATTTCTAGCTTGATTACGTTGATGTTTTCCAACTCTAGAAGAGCAGAGATGATGGAACGACGACGGGCAACGTTGGCTGCTCTACAAAAGATGAAATCTGCTGAGGAGGGATTGCAGAGGTGCAGATAAATTTTTTTCAGATTCTGACTAAAATATTAGCATGCTGATATTGTGAAAAGTGTGTCATATAATGTTATTCAAACTTGTTTTACTCTTGATCGCATGGCTAACAACTGCGCTCATGAAGAATCTCGCAGAGATATAATTTATTTTTAAAAGAATTTGCACAGTCAATTTCTTAGAAACTCTTGGAAGTTGCATCCTAACGTAATGTCTAAGATTGGTTTATTGACTTTATGGAGTGTGATGAGCCCAAATCTTTTGGAATCCGATACGCTTCAGTTACAGTTCGTTATTCATAGCATAACCTCAATATATACAAATTTTCTCAGTATTACCAGCGTAACTTGAAAAACATTAAAAATATGCTTTTTTGCAGTTTTTTGAACGTAGTTGATCGCAAATCTCGTGTTATTGCACAATATGCTGCTATTAGAACGTGTCGTTAGGTTGATTAAAAAGTTTGGCATAATTTCGGGATCTTGATTAAAAAAAATAGCGATTTGCTGCATGTCTGAGTCACTTGCTATAGGCTCAGCCTGGATCTGTTAC